CGCCGCGCTCCTGGAGGAGCCGATCCTGGCGCAGGTCTCGCAGCACCGGGCGCCGAGCATGGCGGCAGCGGCAAAGGAGGAGGGATTGGGACGACAGACGAGGTCGAAGCCCCGAATGGGAAGTCCACGCTTATCCCAGAGGACCAGAGCACCATCAGCAGCGAGGCCGCGACTTCTCTAGACAACGGCGCGCAGCGAGGAGCCGGTCCCGACGGAGGTCCCGCGCCGTGCCGGGCGCAGGGCTTGGTAGCCCACCTGGGCGCAACTTCCCTCCAAACAACCAACTTTCGTCTTACTTTCAGCAGAGGTTCCGTTACTTCAGCCTGTGCCCGTTTCTCTTCTCCTGTCACTGGATGCCGCCGAGAAAGGACTGGAGCCCCTCTGCCCCCACGCGCCAGGGAGGCAGGGACCGGTGCGCACAGGGGCAGGGGACAGCCCGTGGCTGCCAACAGCCAAAGGCGTGCGGCTTTGTGGGAAACACAGGCACCCACCTTCGGGTGGTTTTCCTCAAGCCCCATCATGGCCAGGCAGACCCTGACCTCGTGCTCTTTGCAATATCTCGTTCCTTGGACCGTTCTGAGCCGTCTGCCGCGTTGTCCGTGATGGCATCCGCCCGCCCTGAGCGAGGGGCACTGCAAGGGCCGGCTCTGCCCTGGCTGAGTGAGCTGCCTTTAGTGCAGTTGGTGCCTTTTGGCGTGTCTCAGGAGCCTTCCTGGGTATTTTGGAAAAGCCTGGGCCCCTGGCCGTGCCTTGGGATTCCCTCATCAGGCCCCATCATCACCCCACCGCGCACCCCTGTGGCCCGGGCACGGAGCCGATGGGCTCCGGTGTGATTTATTCATATTGTTTTGTTTTCCCTCCAGTTATTTTCATGGAAAAATTGCTGGGGGGAGCTGGTACCCATTAAATCTCATTTTTTTCAGCAGATCCATGGCTTGGAACAGCAGCAGTTTCCCCAGAAAACCAAGGTGCTGGCTGCTGCTCTTCATCGCTGGAGGCTGGATGTCCCTGAGCCCAGCAGCACTTCACTTCCGAACTTGCGCTTCACTTCGGTCCCAGCTGTCGCCTGGTCCCTGCCCCCAGATGCCAGCCTTGAAATCACCCCGTTAACGTACACATTTGTGTCCCATCAACCCATAACTTGGGTTATCAGAGTAGCCAGTCCTCTCCCTAAATGCATATTCAGCATGTTTTGCCCATGGATCTCTTTTCTGCTGGGTGGAAGAAGGCTGATCTCTCTTGCACTGCAAGAAATAGTTGAAAAAAATACCCATAAAATTCAACAAATGGTGAAAAACACTGTGAAGTCCATGCACATGAATAGAGCTATCGTATTTAGTTTTCCCTGTATATATTTTTTTTTCTTTAAATACAAAACATCCCATCTGGTATAAGCTGATGTTCGTTTAGCTCCTATTCTGGAAAATTCACTCTCTGGACAAGGCAGCATTTTTGAGGATGGTGCCAGGGAGCTGGAAACACGTTATGTGCCCACCTAAACATTCTGTATGGATGTATGTTTGTGCCAAAGCTGTATTTCTGCTATTTTAGAATAACAGCAGATAATAAAAGATTCAAACAATTTCTGCTGAAACTAAAAAAAAAAAAAAAATCACAAGAAAACAAAACCAACAAAAAACCCAAAACAAATGGTTCTTGGAAAAGTGCAAATAGGCTGAAGTAGTCTCTGGGAAGAGCAAGCACGTTTGGCCAGCGCTGCTCCAAAGAGGTCAGCTGTCCAAAAGCTGCAGCAGCCTGGGAATTTAGGAGGTCTTCACAAAAACTGGCACCTCCGCAAGGCTGGCGGAGTAATTCCGGAGGACGGTGCCTCCGTCAAACACGCGGGCGGTGTTGGTGTCCATCCACAGGTGCCCTTCTCCAGGCAGGTAGATGTCTCTCCACGTTTGCCCTTTTTCTGTGATTGGGGCCACCAGGACCTGCAGTGGAAAAGAGAAAGAAAGAAAAAAGAGGTTTAGCACGGGAAGGATTAGCCGGGACGTACCGGTAGCTGCGCCGAGCAAACCACGAGGCTGGAGGGATGAGCCAGCGGCCACAGAGAGAGTGTCCACCCATGGAAGCAGCTGGGGCCAAAGCTGGTGGGCACGAGGCTTCCAGAATTGCAGCGAGAACAGGTGATGCAGTGGCCTTCCTGGGACTGGGATCACCCCGCCTGCAGCGGTCCCGAGAGTCCGTCCAGCTCAGATTTTGGGGGATCTGAGCAACAAAAAACCTCAAAACGTCAGAAGTCTGTGTTCCCTGCAAAACAAAGCTTGTGCTTCTCGGCTGAGCGAGGCTGGGGGGATGCTGGTGGAGCCGGAGCACAGGCTGGCCGGGAAACCCTGGGAGCTGCGGGTGGGTTCGGGCTCCCACGAAGCAGCTTCGGGTTTGCGATGGGAATTGGTGGCACAGAGTCGGGGCGGGAGACGTCCCTGTGCTGCACAGGGGATTTGTGGCAGAATTGGGAATTTTCCTCTCCTCCCACACCCCCGTGCCTGGGAGGATCGGGTTCAGCCAGGCTCTTTGATACGACTCATTCAACGGAGTCGAATGTGATCTGGTACGAAAACCAAGCAGAAACTCGTATTTCAATTAGAACTGAAGATGTTATAGGGGTGTGAGAAGAGCTTTAGCTCCAGGCTGCTAGAAAGGAGGGCTTCAAAAGCCCTCTGCCCAGGGCTGCTCTCCAGGTGACTTAACCCTCCCTTCCCACCTTTCCTCTCCTGCACTGGGGCGAAAGATTTGTGTTTCAGCCTCTGAGACTAATTAAGTGTTGCAGGTTACATAAACCCTAGGAAAAGCTTGTGTTCAAAACGTACAACATGACATACAAAATCTCAAGCAGCATATTTGCATTTATCATCCCATGGACTCAAGGCTCCTCGGGAGATTCAAGGGATTTAGCTGCCCAGTGCCCTCAAACGATCGTGAAAATCTCAGTCGGTGGCCTTGGCATAGGGGTAATTGCATTTAAAAAAGCATATAGAAATAAAAGCATAAAAAAAAGCTCTTGGGTCACAAATCAGATGTGACCTATTCAGATGTGAGGTCTCACTCCTCCCCAATGACTTAGTCAAGGTAATCCAATCTCCAAAGATCTTTAGAGATTTTTTTTTCTTGCTTTATGGGGAAAGCAGTTTTCAACATTCTGAGAATATTTCTTCCTGATAAAATGTTTCACTTCAGAAACTGAAAGAGGCTTTCAGGGCCCCCAGTAAGAGTTTTGCAACAAAGGCAAAGCTTTTTTGAAAAGGAAAATACCCAAACCCACACAAAACCAGCTGCTCTGACTTCAATTTAAATCTACTTGAACACCGAGGCTTTGATTTATATTTGTGCAGAACTGAGTTCACATGATGGTGAAGAAAGAGGGGATGATAGGAAAAAAAAAATCTCACACCTCTAGAAAGGCCTTTAAAGGAGGAAAAAAAAGGCTAAATAGTGAAAAACAGATATGAAATTTATGGATCAGTCCCTCTTAAACCCTATTTTTGGAGTTGTTGGGCGACAGCAAAGAGCAAGTGCTGGGGAATTATCCCTGCAGCCCTTAGTGATGCTCCTTGAGCTGCATGGCAGCAGCATCCCAGGGAGACACCGTGATGTTTGGCGCACTTTGGGGAACACTTTTAGACCCTCCTGGCCTTTATAAATATATTTGGCAGCAAGATCTGGCTTCCCTGCCTCTTGCAGCATCGGCTTTCGCCAGGCAGATGGCACTGACAAGCAGTGATGCTGCGTCACAGCCCCCAAACAGCACACAACGATGTTTTTTGGCCAAACCAGTTCAACTTACCTCTTTGCTATTATATCTCAACTTATTTGCTGGAAGGATTCAATAGCCATCAGCCCAATTCCCTTCCCTAGTAGCAGAAGTTTGCTCATGAGCAATGCTGGAATATGGCTGGGCAGCGTTAAATCCGGTTCCAAGATCTCTGCTCAAGGATCAAAACTGTCCTGGCCGCTGCAGTCCCACCCCACCTCATCCCAAAACTGCTGCGGGAACCCAAAGGCATTGCTGTCACGGCTGCTCGAAGGGAGCAGGTGGTTGTTTCCCTTTGCAGTCAGCAAAAATCTGACATAAAAACTGCTTTTTGAGCACTCTTGCTAATTTGACGGATATATTGTCCGGCCTGACTCAGGGTGAGCGTGTGCTGCCGAGAGATCTGGGTGAGTGAGGTCTGGATATAATGAATGTGCAAATCACAGCCTGAAAATCAGACTTCAAAGCAGGGCCAGAGTTAGCCCCAGGAAAGCCTGGGGTGCAACTCGGAAGCAGGAGAGCTTCAGCGGCAGCACTGAGCCGCTGCTTGCGCCGAGGGATGATGCTCCAAAGGTTTATCCCAGCGCCTGAATGCTGAGTCCTGCCTCAGACCATACCAGGACAGAACCACCTCATGTATTTTCCAGCAGTTTGTTGTTAATGATGCACCAAATTGCACTAAAGCCAGTTTTGGAGCGCATTGCTATTCTTCCAGCTTCCAAAAACCAGCTTGGAAGTCAAAACATCCTCTGTCAGGGCTCTCCCATCACAAGCTCAGGCTCTTTTGGGAAAAGATAATAACAATAATTAAAAAAAAAAAAAAGTCAGGCAAGCTTTTTGCCAGCCTCGCATCACGCTTTATCAGAAATGCTTGGCTCTGACAAGTTTACGGAGCAGGCATCACATTTTACTGTATTTTAGGAGCTTTCAGCCAAGCTGAAGCTTTGCACCTCCTGGGACGGAGGGCTAAAGCTGTTTTTTTTGTGGGTTTTTCCCCTCCCTGACTTTACTGGGAATCTCCCCTCACTAATGCAGACCACATTTCTGCCCTGGCTGATTCAATCGCATCAGAGATTTTTAAGTTCCAGAAATTTTGGGGGAGAGAACTAAGTTTTAGCTTGCTTACTACCACCCCCACTCCTGCCCAAACGCGTGCTCCACAGCGCTGGGACAGCAGAAACACCTCGCCCCCTCCAGCCTCCGCGCACGCACCGTACCGGTCTGAAATCCGTTTGTGCCAAGGATTTGTATTTTCAAAGCTTCCCACCTGATTGTCTGAGCTCTCTGCTAAGAGGTCTTTCTGCTGCCTCTTAAAAAGTGAAAGTGCCTGCAGTGAAAGTTTCCTTTAAAAAAAAATTTAAAAAAAAAATACAGATTGACTCCACAGAATTTGTGGCCAGAAGCTCAAGGTTGGAGACCAGGTATTGCAGTAGCTGTTGGAGGTTGCAAGCAGAGCCTTAAAAGATAACTGCAGCATGAGCTGCTTTTCCATTAAAACACGAAACAAACTCCTACTGGGCTTTGTTTTGGGGATTTTTTTTTTTAGAGAGATGTCCCCATGATTAGCACCATCCTCATGTAAAGGCAGCCTGACATGTTGCTGCAAAATGAACGCAAGAGTATGAACTCAGGATTATGCTTTTAATGAAAAAAAATATGTAGGAACTGCCAAAATCTTGAGCTGCTGGGATCCTGCACTCATTCAGGAATGCAAGGAAAAAGAAAAAAAAGTCTTGTTGACTCTTTATTCTGAACAACTTGCAAACCTGAGGGAGCCAGCGGGCCCCCATCAGCCCTTCGGTTTCCTGCAGCCTCTCTCCGAGCCCTGTATTCACGTGGGATGCAAAGGGGCATCCGATTCCCCTATTTGCCCCCAATTACCCTTCGAGGGTGCTCAGTCCCCAGCTTTCCTACCTCATCTCCAATGAGAAATTCATCCTCTATGGTAAAAGCGGTCGGATCCGTGGGACTGAGCCACCACGCCGGCCGGAAGATGGGGTACCCCAAACGAAGCCATTCCTCGCTGTATTTTATGAGGAGGGGCACGACGAAGTCCCGGTGCCTCTGTATGCATTGCCGGGTGAGATTCAGCACCTGCAGGGTGGGGGAAGAAGAAGAAACCCTTGGTGAGTCCTCCATCCATTGAACAGCAAAGCAAGCAGAAAAAAAAAAAAAAAAGAAGAAAAAATAAATATATTCCCTTGGGAAGAGAGACGACTGAGTTGCAACTTCCTGGTGAAGTCGTGGCCGCTAACGAGGTGCAAACCAGGTGGATACTGTGGATTTATTCCCATTTAGATGGGAAAGCTGGGGACAGTGGCTGGTGGGTGATACCTGCCGGGGTGCTGATGCCCAACCAAAGCCATGAACCCTTCTGCAGAAGAGATTTTAAGAATCACTCTCCCCTCGTATTGCCCTAAAGGTGACATCCCTGGGAAAACGCTTCCAACCATTTAAAAAGCTCCTGAATGTGAGCCTGCCAGCTTCACCCTACTGCAGGCATTCACTGTTCCATCAAATTAGAATTAATTTATAATTATATTGCTGCTCCCTCCAGCAGCAAAAGGGAGGGAGAGAGACGTGCGACGATTGCCGCCGTCCCTACGGGCACCGCAGGTACCAGCCCCGTGGCTGCACGTAGCCACGACGTATAAAGCCACAAAAACTCCTGTTAATTATGCAGCAAAGATCCTGAGCTTGTGGGCAGCAAGAACAGGACGGTGAATTTTAGCCCCAGCTTTCCCCAGTAGGGACTTTAATGGCTTTTAGGGGTGTTTGTTGTGTAAAGGGCGCCGTGCCCTGCTCCGTGGGGCAGGGGGTACGTACCCAGGCGTCGCAGCAGAGCCAGGGCGGCGTGCTGAAAGCCATCACGGGCAGAAACGTCACGACCTGCAGCCACCGCACGTACAGCTCCGGGTCCCCTGGGGTGTCACCAGCCAGGCTCCCTCCTGCCGGGGACAAGGAGCTGAGTGATGCCACTCGGGGGCATCCCGTGGTGGGATGGGTCCCACACGACCTGCTCCCCGCACCAGCAGGGCGTTTCACCCCATTGCAAAAGGAGCTGAGTCCTCCCCACCCCTGTTTTGATTCTTGAGCACCGTCAGCAGGTGTTGGTCAGACACCCATCTCTGGCTCTCTGAGGACCAGGGTGACATCTCAGAAGTTTCTAAATTTTAGCAGAACATGGTAAAAAGGGATTTCCTTCCTGCAAAGAAAAGCATTGGGGAAATACTCCTGTAATTTGGATCCCTTCAAACACATAGTGAAAAGTTAAATTAAAAAAACCCCAAAGGTTTCAGGAAAATTAATCAGAAACACAGAGTGGAAGGAGATTCCACTTCCCCTTGGAAACACCAGAGAGGGGCTTGGGAAGGCCAGGGAGGCTGGGATGGGGCAGGGAAAGGGAAACGAAGCCCTTGGAGCTGGAGCATCCCCAGGAGCCATCGCTCCGAAAACCTGGCACAGCTTCGCCGGGAAATGGCACAAAGCCCAGTGGAAATGGCACAAAGCCCCCCAATGCCAAGGGCTCACCCAGAGCACCCACAAAGCCCCGTCTCCTCCAGCAGCCTCCATGTGTTCGGGGCACGTTTTAAACACAAAAACCCTCCAAGAAGAGGGGAAAAACCGAGCTGCTTGGCCCCGATTAAAGGATTGTCTCTTGATGTCTATAACGTTTGTATTTAAGGATTTCTCAAGCTGTTGTGCTTTGGAGCGGAGCCACAAACTGGGAGCAGGGGCTGCCACTGGTTTTGGGACATCGATCTCCCAGGCAGGAGCCTGGGCACGCGGTTTCCCGGCTGTGGGCTCCCTCCTTGCTTTCACCTGGCTGCTTCTGGGGCTGCCTACTCAAATTTACATGTTTTTCTGTTTCCAGTTCCTCGGTTGATTCCCAAGAAACACTCAACCCAATCAAGTCAGCCCGGCAGAAAGTCGGGTACCGGGAACAAAGCGCTTCAAGCACCGAAGCCGGATGGTACAAACGTACCTCCCCGTGTCCGTCCTCTCGCCTGAAAAACAGCTGCGAAAACCACTGTGGGACAGCCAAAAATAGGGGAAAACGCGGGAAAGGAGATTCTTACCTACGGCGTCGGGGATGAAGAAGTTGTAGCCCAGGAGGCTGTAGTGCAGCACGGAGGGAACGACCCCCTTCAGCCCCGCGTGGCTCCAGTCCGAGCGCAGCGGGCTCATCTGCACGAAGAGCGGCAGGTGGCTGGATCTGGGGGGACAAACACGGACCCGATGCTCTCAGGTGGCTCCCAGGAGCCGCAGCTCCCCCACGCCTGGCTGTCTCGGCAGTCGCCACGGTCAGATACAGGTTTCTCCAACCACCTGGCACCTCTGTTGGAGGGAAATCGGTGCTCCCCGACACCGCTCCCACCCGCTGCGCCTACCCTAGTCCTCCTTCTCCCCAAATCCCCTGTCCAAGCTTTCCTTCTCCTGGCTTGGTCTCACGAGGACCACAGTTTGGTGGCCCACCAGAGCCACGCTCTGGGTTGTAGCCGCCTTCTTGCTACTTCTCATATGGCAGCACCCACCTCGGTGGGAAAACGTGCACAAAACACATCGCCGGGGCAGCGGCTGGGGTGTCCCAGCAGCACATGCAGCAGTCATTGAGCAGCCTAGTGTGAGAGACAGCGTTTCTGGTGGCCAAAAAGGGTCAAATCTGGACCTTCATGGTGAGCTTTGGCTTCAAAAATGATCTGGAGCTCATCTAACCAAGGAGGGGTTTTTGGTCTGAGCCTGCTCGCTCCTTGGCTTTGGTTTCATCCTCAACCTCCCACCCACTCCCCGAAGGTCTCCCAGGGACACTTCATCATCTGAGGGGGTGGTAAGGCCGATGCGACGGTTTATGAAATGCTTCTGGTGTGGAAACTGCCCACCAGGAAAGGCATGAACCTGCATGGGCTTAGAAATGGTTAGAAAAGGGGCTATTTTCACCACTCTGGTTTTGCAGATGGCCAAGAGCCTGTCACTGTCTCGGCATGTGAAACTCTGCTTTTTCTTTGAAAATGAACTATTTTGGAGTTGCCTTCTCATGCAATTTACCATCAATGCCTCATCCACAACATGGAATCAGTCATTTAGCCAACAGCCTGCATATCCCTTCGCATCTGCCAAGCATAAAAATAGTGGGAAAACAGGAAAGCGATAGTTTTTGGTGCCTTCACCAAAGGGTCTCAAAGCATGTTACAGCTGCTAATTACTAAATTAACCCTGTTGTGGGCTGTGCAAGCATGAAAATCAGGAACACCTACAGCTGTTTGACACCACAAGGAATTACCAGCACAGGGATCTGGCCAAGCTCCCAGGGTTCACCCCCACCTCCTGCAGAAGAGGCTCAAATGGCCAGAAATAACAAGAAGATGCATTTTTATTGCATCTGGCATTAATGCACTTCAGCTTTTTTATGCTCTAAGATGTTAAAAAAAAAAGATAAATAATTCAAATGCTCCCAAAGAGAGAGGAAGAGGAGATATGAGTGGGACCTCTCGATACTTGTTGCCCTAGACCACCTCCTTGCTGCTTCCTGGGGTACCGAGCGGTGCCTCGGCATCCCAAGGGCTTATTTAAAGTATCACCTCAATCCCCTCCCAAGCAGCTCTTGGCTCCAGCAAAGCATCCCCTCCTTGGCACCCACCTGGCACCGGCGCTGATGATGGTGTTGTTTCCCA